TTTAGTTTGGCTTGTTTTAAATATATTATATTAAAACAAGTGGATTGTGTGCTATCCATTTAATGTAGAATTTATCGCCAACAAATCACACACACACCTACTGTAAAGAATCGTGGCCCCTATAAAACCTGACAGGCTTTAAGGAGGCTAAGAGCTTATATATATGCAGAAACATACATTTACACATACACATATTCTCAAGAAAACCTTAAATTCCTAAACCGATAAAAAACATTAACCGAGTTCTCGAATTTGTGTTTAGTCAATTTTTACCGTTATTATCGCCAAAGTCAAACTTACGTTTTTTGTTCCATAATTTTCGTGCAAATCTACATAGCTGTCTATAGTTTTGAAAGGATAGACTAGAGGTAAGGCAGCTAGCTAAAAACGTTAACCTCCAACTCTTTGGATACTCTTATCTGACCCTACCACAAACCACAGTCCGGGTCCATTTTTTCTAGAAATAATTAAACTTCATTGTTTTAGTCAATTTTAAAAGACTAATTTGCTGGTGACGTTTTTCACTCCAAATATAGTGATATAGTGTAAATTAACAGAACACACATAAAAAGTACCTGTTAATTATTAGCAATTCATATTATTTTATTGTGGTTACATGAAACAATCAAAGTTGTTTGTTCTAGTCTTATCTATAAACTGTCATCTCAATGTAAGCTGTTGTTAAAATTACTGTTTAAAAAGAAGACCGTCATGTTTTAGTTGAAAGTCCGAATATAATATATAAATATATGAGCAAAACTATACGTTTCTAAACATCAGAGAAGGTTTTTACAAACTTATGTGGATGAGGCAAGATTGTAGGTGTGTTTTCATTGGATACTAGTGGTGGTTCTGTCTCTAATTTCTCTTGTTGTAAAAAAATGACAGCTATACTCACTGTAAGAGAAGATGATATTAAGTGAAAATCCATGTTTCTTCGTTCAAAGTCATGACGTATCCCAGACTTAACAGTAGCATCCAAACGCTCCCTCTCAAATTACATGTCACGAGGTACACCCTCGACAAGGACAGCTCGTTTTCCCAAGGCATCTGGGATTGATTTTGTTGATGTGTTTACTCTAATTTGCTACGATGAACAATCAAGCGGATGGCTAATGTAAAGTTTTTAAGTCGAGCTACACATGTAAGAAAATATACGTTCTACTCTGTATGAAAACGACAATTACAAACAGTGCATTTTTAGGTATTATCTTCATAGGGCATAATGCTAAAATAGAAAAAAAAAGATTTATAATTGAATCACGTGGCTTTATGAAATAAATATCGTCATGATATAGCGACATAATGAAATAAATCTTTTCGTGATATCATGACTCAGAAACACGGGCTAATCATCTCAAAAAAGCAACAAAGCTATACTCTGACGAAATATTTCCATCATTAAAAAACAAAACAAACAATGAAAACTGATGTAGCTCAGATCATATTCGATTTAAATCGATGTGTATTGTATTATTGGTATTGTTAATGGCAAACCTACTAAGACTATCTGTCGCTGTTCAAAATTTTGAACTGTCGACCACAGGGAAGGTAACCGACCGGCAGCACCCATCGCCAACACTTAGGCTACTTTTTTCTAGTGATTGACTATCACGTTATAACGTCTCCACAACTGAAATGGCAAGTCTGTTCGGAGCCGGGTTTTGATCATTATGTAGCTTTAAAAGCTTTCTATATAACTATCTAGCTCAATTAGCCAGACCATTGTGAAGCTTTAAAAGCTTTCTATATAACTATCAAGCTCAATTAGCCAGACCATTGTGAAGCTTTAAAAGCTTTCTATATAACTATCAAGCTCAATTAGCCAGACCATTGTGAAGCTTTAAAAGATATCTGTATAATTACCCAGCGCAGATAGCCAGACCCATTGTGTAGGTTTAAAAGCATTTTATATATAACTATCCAGCGCAGATAGCCAGACTACTATGTAGCTTTAAAAGTTATCTATATTACTATCCACCGCAGATAACCAGACCATTGTGTAGCTTTAAACGCTTTCTGTATAACTATCCAGCACAGGTAGCCAGACTACTGTGTAGCTTTAGAAGCTTTCTACATAATTATCAAACGCAATTAGCCAAGCCATTGTGTAACTTTAAAAGCTTTCTATATAACTTTCTAGCGCAGATAACCAGATCATTGTGAAGCTTTAAAATATATCTATATAACTACCCAGCGCAGATAGCCAGACCACTGTGAAGCTTTAAACGATTTCTGTATAACTATCCAGCAGAGGTAGCCAGACTACTGTGTAGCTTTAAAAGCTTTTTATATTACTATCTAGCGCAGATAGCCAGACCATTGTGTAGCTTTAAGAGCTTTCTATATAACTATCCAGTGCAGATAACCAGACCATAGCGTAGCTTTAAAAGTTTTCTATGTAACTATCCAGCACAGATAGCCATATCATTGTGTACCTTTAAAATCTTTATATATATATATATCCAGCACAGATACTAGACCACTATCCAGCGCAGATAGCCAGTTAGTGTATAGCTCTGCGCTTAAACAAACGAAGCAAATATATCCAGCCATCACTAGACGTAGGATCTACTTGTCGTTGTAGTTACTAACTAACACAAAGTTAATAAAAAAACGTAGTAAATACCTTTGATACTCTTCATATCGCGAAGTGTTCCATCAGGTTTAGAAGGCTCGACAATCTTCATTAATAAAGTCATAAGTACTAACACTCTAACTTGAGTAGTAACACTCTTTAAAAGGAGCATTCTGAGGTGTTCGTCCCCTTTTTTTTAAATATTGACAGTTATTAAATATCTACAGAGATAACTATACAGACAGTACCTTAAAAAACGACAAGGAAGCGATTGATTTTTGAAAGTTGAATCATACCGATCTGTATTTAAAAACACGAGTTAGAGTCGTTTTGGGAGTGCCAAAGCGTTCTTGATGTTGATTAGAAAAACAAAAACTAAAACGGATCTAGTCACCACCGATCAAAATTTCTGAAGTAAACCCAAGACATCCAGTTACGTATAAACGAAAAACATCACCATCTTCGTTCTTGACCATCATCAACCTCTCGCTGCGTCTCTCGCACATCACGTGCACGTGGTGACCATCTGAAATATAGATCGTGACGTCTTAGTCGAACGCATGCGCTCTATCCTAGAAAGTAAAACCTACTCATAAATTGTAATAGACTTAAAGGTGATGGTTAATTAGAATAATAAGAAACACAACTCAGTGCGATCTTTGTTGTATAAAAATTTTGCAGCCAGCTACAGAAGTTCACATTATTATTAATACTATGTGATTTTTTGTGAATGTATATCAACTCAAGAAACACCGTTGAGAAAATTCACAAGAAGCCCAAGTAGTAACAATTGTTAACGAAAATTTTTATGGAAAAAAATAAAACGGAAAAAATGGTAAGAGCTTGTCTTAAAAGTCATTATGAATATTGTAACTCACAATAATGTGTCTTAAAAGTTGTGTAAGCCTTGTAAGGCACAATAAGATGGTCAAAGATTGTTTTAAAAATTGTTTACGTCTTGTAAGACACAATATGGTGGACAAAACTTGTCTTGAAAGTTGTGTAAATGTAAGACATGATATGGTGGTCGAAAGTTGTTTTAAATGTAGTGCAAGTCTTGTAAGACACAATATGGTGATCAAAGATTATTTTAAAAGTTGTTTAAGTCTTCTTGTTTAAGACACAATATGGTGGTTAAAGGTTATTTAAAAACTGGTTAAGTCTTATAGGACAAAAGTGGTCAAAGATGGTTTAAAAATTTGTGAAATCTTGTTAACACAATAGTGATCAGAGATTATCTTAAGTACTGGTGTAAAATTAGAAAAGGTTAATCACAAAACTTCTGAACAGAGAAAGCTATGTGCTTAAAGCGAAACCGAAAATCAACCTGGTATTCAGTATAGCAATTGAATATATTTTTCTTTCGTTACTACATATAAATATTAGAATGAATTGTACGTTCTGACCGTATCTGTCTAACCGTTCGACCATAGACTGATTGACCTATCTATAGTTGCTTTGACCTTAATCAAAATATATATACTTGATTTTTGGAATCACTTCTTCTCCATTCTATATGATAAGTTAATGTCACCATAAATATTCATAAGATCTTGTTACTGTTGAGTTCATTGACCTGAGATGTGTCCTTGACCCGTGAGTTCTGTAACTGAAAGTTAACCCTGTCTTCCAGTTACAGTATGTCATCACTATAAACTTGAAATTCATCGAACTCTTGAATAGTGCTTAAAAGGATTGAGACATAGAAACAAACAGATAACCAAGCGGTAGATAGACCTTATTAACTAAATTTTATTCTAATGATCTGACTAGAAACGTATTTTGCTGCAATCATCCATAATAATAGTGTTTTAAATTGGCGTGATAACATTTATAACAAAGTTCAACTTACTAACTTCACACTGGTATAACTTCGACCACAGCTACAATTATATTTTTTATTATTATTCAAAGGTTTTTGTAACGTTTATATAATTTTATTTGCAGATAATGGGGTTTATGCATTAAGTTTCCTTTAAAAAGTATCATGAGTTTTTGTTTTAATTTTTGAGCTGTTATGCTTCAGCTTTTACAACGCTAGAAACCGGGTTTCGATACCCGTGGTGGACAGAGCATAGATGGTCCACTGTGTAGTTTTGTGCTTAACTTGAAACAAACAAACAAATACTCCAGCTTTTAGTTAAGTTTGAAAAACTACCCCATTTTTGAAAAAATTCAACCATCATTATGAACATACACTGCGGGTAATCGAACACTGAATTTTAGCTTTATAAATCTCAAGTTTACCGCTGAGTCAAGTGTATAAATAAGCATTAAAATATTTGATTTTACATATGGAAACTATAATACGGTGACTGATATTTTTCGGTAAATTTATTTTTTGTTTGTTTGTTTGAAATTAAGCACAAAGCTACACAATGGGCTATCTGTGCTCTGCCCACCACGGGTATCGAAACCCGGATTCTAGCGTTGTAAGTCCACAGAAACATAATTTGTTGTATACCTGTAAGTATATCGAATGCGAACATACACATAAGTTCTTACTCAAACATAATATTATTGTTTTCTTTTGTTTTACATTCTATTACTAAGTCCTAATGAATAAGATTAGACAATTAAGACACGCAACATGTGGGGTGACAGATTTAATTTGTCTCTCTCTCTCATAAGCGCCCCCAGTGGCACAGTGGCATGTTTACAGACTTATAACGCTAGAAACGGAGTTTCGTTACCCGTAGTGGGCAGAGCACAATTAGCCCATTATTAAGCTTTGCGCTTAGCTACAAACAAACTCTCACTCGAAATGAATAAAAAAAAAATCTATATAAATAAACGTCTAATTTTGGAAAACTATCAATATTGTATATCCTTCAGCATTAGAATGAACTATGTAACCACTATTGTTAAAATTCTTGAAAACAGTATGTCTTTCTTTTCGGTATTCGTACCTATATGTATTTTTATTGCACTTTTAATGTTTATTATATTAAGAAGAAAAAAATAGAAGCACAATTTTCTATCCTTTGTTACAAACGAATTTTTATTTCACCCGTCCAACGGACCGGTACTCCAGCTACTGTATAATAGGAATAAAAATATGTTTTATTTATGAGCAAAGTTGCTAAATGAGCTATATCCGCTTTGTCCACCACAGGGATTAAAACGTGAATTGTAGCGTTATAAGCTCTCAAGGCTACCGCTGAACCATCGGGAGGATAAATATCAACTCTCTAAGACAATACTGCTCTTTTCAACATATTATATGAAGACCTACAAAATATTGATGTTGCAGTCTCAGTCTGAGGAGTAGTAGTTTAGTCAGGATTCTTCTAGTTAAAAACTTCTTTCAACTTGAATTAAATTTATCGGGGGTAAAAACAGGCTTGATGAATGTAATTTTGTTTAAGCTTATCCCCGAGATGATGATGAGCGATGTTCCATAACAGATCCTTGTGAAATAGGCCAGGCCAACGTGTAACACGTTTTTGTTTGTTTTGTTTTTTGAATTTCGCGCAAAGCTACACGAGGGCTATCTGCGCTAGCCGTCCCTAATTTAGCAGTGTAAGACTAGAGGGAAGGCAGCTAGTCATCACCACCCACCGCCAACTCTTGGGCTACTCTTTTACTAACGAATAGTAGGATTGACCGTCACATTATAACGCTCCCACGGCTGAAAGGGCGAGCATGTTTGGTGGGACGGGGATTCGAACCCGAGACCCTCAGATTGCGAGTCGAGTACCCTAACCACCTGGCCATGCCGGGCACCCCACGTCTTTGTAATAGAACTTTAATCATCGAAACTCAGGAAAGCAATAGCTAGAACCATGGGTATCCGCAAGGGGGGCATTCCCCCTGGAAAGCGAGAAACATAATTATTTCTTTATTCATTCGACATTTATTTTATTTTATTTTATTCATTTCACAATTTCACATTACTTTGCCTACTTTGTTTTATAATTACTTAGATACATAACACTTTACCATTCGCCAGAAAACTTCGAAACAGGTGCTTAGGAGATTCAGTAGAAGGATAAAAATTATAGCCTAATAAAACCTTATGTTGCGAGACTTTAACAGGAAAACGGAAGTAAATTTCAACCAGTACAGAGAAAGAACGGGTGATTTTAAAGGCGGTATGCTGAATATCAGCATAAAATATTTGGTATTAAGTTATAAATATCACGTATAGTACTGTAATACAGTTTTGTACAATACGTTCTGTGCTGTTAAATTATAAAACATAACAACAACAAAAGAAGAAAAAACACTGAAGTGAATGAGAATGGCGGACTTACAACGCTAGAAACCGTTTTTCGATACCTGCTGTGGGCAGAGTACAGATAGCCCATTATGTAGCGTTGTGCTTAAACTACAAACAAACCAAATAAAAAGTTCTAGCATAAAACTGTATGAAACAAGCTAAACAACATGACGATATAATTATCAATCGTTCTCGGTATTTGAAGAACCGATGCAGGAAACCTGAATAAATCCCCTGGAAACAGTCAAGAGAAATAAGGTGGAGGATATTATCTATCATGTTACATGTATCTCGAGTATTGATACGCTGACCTAGTCAACTTGCTATGGTTTTATATACGTCGAATTAGATTGGTAAGATATATAACTGTTATCTAGCACGTCTCAAATTCAGTTCAGAAAACGTTCTCTAACTTTATTTATTAGCTGTCGTACGTCTCCAGTTCAGTATTATGTGACTTTTTCATGTTTTAAGTCTTTTCTTTAGTGTTAAGTAGTGTTATAACCCTAAGTTTCCAGTTCATTGGTAGATAATATTCTTTAGTCTGACGTAACAGAATATGAAAGTATTAATTAAAATAACGACATCTGAAAACGTAAATTTCCAAATAAATTAATTTCAGGTTTAAAGGACAATCGTATTCACATTACTGTCCGACACAGTTTGAAGTTTAACAAATATATATACAATATATGATAGAAATCTACACACTGCTATTAACTGTAGTTGGCAGAAAAGGAGCAGCATATTTCTCTTCTGTAAATACTAAGAGGCAAAATAGTAAGTTTTGTCAGCTACAGATGGCGATAAAGTTCTGTGTTACTGAAACAGATGCAAGCATGTATGTATGTTTTGTATTTACCTCTGGATACTTAATTAAAAGGATTGGAAACATTCTCCGTTATTTTTGGATATTTCTGTGATGATATACTTTCACGTTGCTAGCTAGAATATTTATCTCACCTGTGTTTTTAAACATATCTTTTTATTCAGATCGTTTATGTTCGTTCAGTCTTTATTGTAGATATATATAATCAGCTACGTTCTATATACTATATTTAAATGTATATGAAAGGTTGGTTTACAGTGAACGTTTTGCTGATTCTAAAAATTAATATTTAGACTACAAGTTCAAAGAATTATAATATCAGCAATCTGAGACTAATTCACACTCACTAGGGTTACAGAAACAACCCCAGTTGCTTGAATTCTTGGGAAATTCGCTGTGTTACGTTTAATTATAATGATTTTAAAATTGCAGTACTATTATATGTACAAATATTTTTAGAAAAAGTAAACGTTTG